GTATACATGTAAAACTAAAATAACAATGTGTGACAGAACTGCAGCTAATTAAAACATATCTGATGTAGAGCTATGTGGATATAAACATGGGAAGATTTTGAAACAATGAGATTTCTCAGTGAGCAGAGCTACTCATAATATTTATAATATAATTATTATAAATGTAACATTTATATACTATGAGTGCTTATAAAAATGTTTTAAATACATATTACAAATTATTTTAATATTTGAAATTAAAAGTTGAATTATTGAAATACACCATGTATATATATATAACATTTTAATTATTTTGTTAAACTGACAGGGTTTAAGCAATAAGCAACATTCCCCTTCACGAAAAAAGCCCAATGTGTGAAAAAGGAAGTGGGTAGTCAACATGGACGCAAGTACACAGGCGAGTACGTAAGCATATGTAGGCAAACACACTGACACACACACATGCCTTGCAGGTGTGAGCCGTCAGCTCAGCACATTTAAGTGCCCTCAGGAATATGAGCTAAGTGCATTTGAGGGCGTTTAGGAAGCCTGAGGTTAGAACGTCTCCACCGCTTTATTTCATTATCCTGTATTAGAGGAGTCAACAACAGCGAGAGAAAGCCTCTTCTCAGAACCGTGTCACTTAAGACATGATACTATACCATGATGTGCCGTTCTGTTTCATGGGGGCAGAGAGTTTGAAGCATGACAGCTCGGCAGGCTAGAGATTATGCAGGTTTCTGTGGTATGAGGTGAAGGGAGGGCCCACTCCCTTAATAAGGGTAGAAGAAAAAGGACTGGCCACTCTAATTAAAAAGGGAAGATGGTCTTATGGCCTTTAGCTACACAGGGCTGGAGGAGAAGCGATCACGATGCAAGACCCTGGTTGGCCGACTGCCTCAGCTGAAGGTTTAGACGTGTGTGCACATGGGTAAGAATGTGCTTTAGTATTATTATTTAGTACATTCCCGCTTGAAAAGAAAGGATGTAACAACATATCAGCTGTCAATCAATGTTTTGTACATCAGCTGAGTGGGGGAAAAAAGAAATCATCATTCAGGAATTGCTAGGAATTCTTGAAACACTCCTTTACAATTACAATACACAGGAAAATCAACAGCTACAGTGTGTGAGCTGTAAAAACAGAATGTCACTTCATCTTGACTGTATGGAAACGATATAATGTAGAAAAAAAATGTAGGATGGGAATTTGGATTGCGAAATATGGGCATTTTATACCAGTTTGCAATCAAAAGAGCTACATGAGTCCTTAAACATTTCTGGCACCCATTGGTTGAAACTTAAGCAGCCTTGATGATGTCAGCAGAAAAGTAATTTCAGATGCAGAGCAAGTTACATTTTGCTAAAAGATTATGAAGACAAATATAATTTTTAACATGCATTAATCAATCTTGCACAGTAAAACTAACCATTAATTATTAATCAATTAAAAAGGCTGATTTTGATTTTAATGTTGACTTGTGTTGCCAAGCTCACAATTAAATAACATACTTCAATTAAGCAATAAAACTGAACTTGATCTGTGTCATAAATAGTTTTTTATGCTCAAATAATGGTAAAATGTAATACATTTCAGGTTGGTTGCGCAAATGCACACATGCAGTCCAAAGTGCCAGTCTCGAGACACTGTCTGCTTCTATGGGAAGCGAAGCGTTAAATGGCAGCTGCAGTGATGCACCACCATTACCAGCTGGCAACTGGCCCTTTTATTTAGAAGGCAGTACATTTTCTGCCATATTGCGTGCTGCACTTTCTCCTATTCATAGCAATGCCAGTATATACAGTGGGTACGGAAAGTATTCAGACCCCCTTCAATTTTTCACTCTTTGTTATATTGCAGCACAGGCTTTGATCAGGCCCACTACAAAATTACATACTGTATACAGCATGCTGTTTGTAATACAGTCCACAATATGTTAGACACTGCATAACCATATTCAAATTGATGTAAACAACCTAAGATCTAATCGCATTCCCAAATATGTGCCATTTTTCTAATCAACTTTTATAGAAATTTACAGTCGAATGTAAACCATTTGCACGGTATGTACTTAGCATATCAAATTCACAAGTAGTGCTAGTAGTATGATAACATTCTGTTTGGAACATGGCATGACTTCCTCAAGGCTGTGTATTCTGCCTCTGACAAACACTGATTATACTACTACCAAAAGCTTGACAGTAATGCATACTAGACTTTGTGTGAGTGTGAGAGCGAGGCGTCTAAAACACCATTGTCATGACAATCCTAATGACAGCACTGGAGTATGCTGATGAGTCTACATAAAAGGGCAGCAACATTATTTAAATAACCAAACTCCCATGACCTGAAAGAGCTCAATAGACACTTCCAGCACACAAGGAAATGAAAACATTTTTTCATTTGCTGCTGGGTGTGTTTTTAATGACACATAAATTAGTTGTGACTAGGGCTGTGCGATATTGAAGAAAAATGCGATATGCGATACCTTGTTAAGAAATGCGATATTTAATATGCGATACGATATTGCTTAAAGTGTGTAAAATCAATTTCAATTATATTTTAAAATATTTAAAAATGAAAATTATATAACCAATTTGTTTCACATTCTTTCTTGGAAAAGAAAGAATCACTACAACTTCTGAAAGTGAC